GTTGGCATCTAAGGGAGAGAGAAAGGAGAGTTTGACTACAGAGAGATTCAAAGTTTACTCTCATGCTGATTCATCTTCACTGTTCCACAGATTTCCTTCTTGTCTGTGTTTTATGTCATATGAAAGTGATGTCTTTGGGTCTGGGCTAACACAATAGGACTAGAACATGTTTAACAGAATTAAGACATCACCTTGAAATTGGGATGGATATTTACCCCAATTTTCGGACTTTTTATGAACATACAATTAATTGAGTACTCAAAAAAACGAACCGCAGATTAATGAGATATTTATAAAGAAAATACTTGTTGGTTGCAGCCCTAAAAAATATATTGTAATTTTTGTAAACTCAAATGTTTGTATGTTTGAGTGTGTGGACTAACCCAGTTGTTTTCTGTATGTTGGCTGGCTGATCACACTACCATTCCTCTCTTTGGGTGCTGTGTTCAGATCCATGAATAACTCTCTCTCCACTTTCTGCTGCTGTGAGCTGAGGCTGACCCAAACGCTTTAGCTAGTCCATGTGAGGCTGTTTATTCCCCAGCCCCAAAAGAGCTGCTCAAACACACACACACACACACACACACACACACACACACACACACACACACACACACACACACACACACACACGCTATCTATCTCCCTCTCTCAGGCCTGTATGGTTGGTGGAAGGTAACAAAGTGCCCATTCATGCTCCTCGCTCCCCGGGGAGTCGGTCCATGCATCACGTGACCTTGAAGCCTCTCCTGCCAGAGGAGCTGCTGTGAATGAACCCAGCTCTGTCAACACCAGGCTGGAGCTGCTGCACGGGCCTCACCGTGACGTGGCAACAAACACACACATTCTGCAGCTACCTCATTAACATTTGTGCACTTTGTGTTCTAAGCAACAATGCATGCTGAAATGAAATCAACTGGACATGGTCATGCACTTGTGCAAAAATGATATGTTGATCCCGTGGCCTGTCTTCACTTTAACATCATACTACAAAAGAAAGATGCACTAAATTCAAAATCTAAACTGTTTGATAAATGAGATCACCATCATTCTATTCTGTTTACATCTCGTTTTGCTTTCCAGCTAACACCCTGCTAAAGTCATCTGCAGGCATCTGCAGGCATCTGCACCCAAGACGTTTTTCAGGTGGTTATAAAACACTTCTTCTTCTTCAGTGTGTTCAAACTCATTTGACTCAGTGCCAGCACTCTCAGTGATCCTGAGTTCAGGGTGTACAGTACATTTCAAAAGAAAGCAAAATCATGCACATACTACAACATTTGTTCAAGAGCAAATTTCAGTTAACTTTGAATAGGTTTTGGATATGCGTTGGAAGGTAATTTTGAAGAGTTTGCGCCTACAACTGACTTCCTCTCTGCAGGGAAAAAGGGTTTTATTTCAATTAAGATGTCTCCCATAATTTATCATGACAGGCTACTGCTCCCTCAGGTAAATCTCTGAGTGTCCTACCTGTGTAGAGGGTCAGCAGGACCATGCAGAGCAAAAACACCACCAGCTTCTTCATCTTCTTCTTCTTCTTGTTTCTGCTTCTGAACCTTCTCTGAAATGAGGTCCAGACTTGAGTCCAGAGGGGGTGAAAGGGGAAATTCTCCTCCTACTGTACGTCACATAAAAACTGCTCAGACCTGCTCATGTTACTGAGGAGATATTTCAACCAAATTTCCCAGAATCTTATCTCCTCGCATAAGTCTTAATGGGAGACACTACAGGTGTAAAGGGTAAACAAAATATACATATCACCATGAAACTTCCTCAGTTGATGACTTAGAGTTACATTCTTTTTTAATTATACGTTTGTTGTTTTATATATAAAAAAAACAGCATCAGAACATTGGATGAATCAGGTTTGAAATTCTTGTTATATTTTTGACATATTGGGGTCAAAGCTTTTTACAAAGGGAATTTGTGATATATCCTTTTATCACTCCGTATATCATAAAAAAAACAGTTAACAGCCATAAAGAAAAGCAACACGTATTCAGGAATACAATTTAAGAAAATATAGGGCTATGGATCATATGTGAACAAAGCTTCAGAATATAGCTGAGAAAGAAAGTGGAAGGTTTGGTCTAAACTGCAGTGAGATATTTGGGCTCATGAGAAGAAAACAGATTTTGAGAAATCTGCCTTTAAAGATATGGATTGTAAAATGTGGGAGGCACTCCACTAGATGGCGATGAAAACAGACATGTAGAGACAGGAGACCATTTTAACAAATGTAGCACTTTGAGAAATGGCCAGGTATTAAATAGGCTACACAGTATACCATGTTGAAATGTTAATGTGCCCGTCTATCCTTACGTTCATCTATTCAACCAAATACCTTTCCATCTGATCTGTCATAAGGTTCTTTTTCATTCCTGTCAACGCTGAATTACCGACCATACCACTTGGTTTTGGTACTTCGATCATATTTTGGGTTAAAATCACTTAAAAACAACATAAGCCTACAAATGAGAATTTCTTATAAGTAACCATGCTTTGTAAGGGGGGCCTCAGTTTTAGTCCTACATATATAATAAAGTCGTCATTAATTGAATTACCACGGAGTAACACACTTTCAATCTACGATGGGCAACTTCAGACAAACTTGGAAATAATTATTTGATTATTTTTAGCAAAATATTACTTACTCAAAATGTCGACAGTTTTGTAATGAAATGAAATTATTCAAAAGTTTTTAAACAACAACAATTTTTTAAACACTTTAATTCCTGTATGACCACCAGTTTTTTTGTGTTTTTCTGTTCATAATGTCCTCAGTTTGGAATTCATGCTATGAATACTGATGTGTAGGGGTCTTTTCATGATGTATTGAAATAATTGCCCTTCCTGCAGAGTCCCTCCCGAAAAACACATTAAAGTGCTTCCATTGCAACACAATTGCAGAATAAATAATACGCACAGCTGCCTTGTGGAACCGAATTGTATTGGGTTTTTTGTCAGAACTTTTGATTCATTGATTGTTATCAGGATATAAATAACCTTTTACCAACAAACACAAAATTAGCTTAGGAAATAAGTCTATCATTTAAATATGAGTAGGCTAATGGTTGCACTGGGATTCATGGAGGCAACATTTCTAAACAAGTAGCCTGAATCACACCTTTTTAATCTTATTTTACATAATGGTTTTTATGTTTGTGTAAATATTTTCATCGCACTTTGCTGTTAGATAGAATAGAATTGGAGGATGAAACCCTCTTTATTGGTCACAAATGCACACACAGCACACACAGTGACATTTTACATCTGCATTGATCCCAGTAGGAGCCTAGCACTAGTAGCAGTGGGCATCTATTGTACAGTGCCTGGGGAGAAAAGAATGGATCATAACGATTTTATGGAGTTTCAAAATGTCACCTCAATTATTTGTATTGCTTTATTGTTTTACTCTTTAAATCACATTCCTGCCTATGTATCCCCTACCATGTTTTCCTATTTTTTTTTTTTATGCATCCCTCTATGCTGGATGGGAGCACTGTCCGAAGGGGGACGTCATTGTGCGTCACTGATGCGCTTCCGCTTCTTGCTGCCTGTGTCTCGCGCAGTGTGCGCACTTTAATGATAATCTAGCTCTGATTGATATCTGAGGCATGACCGAAAAGCTTTTGTTTCCTCATTGAGATTTTCTCACACGCTATGAAATGACGATGCAGCGCAGAGCGCATGCGCGATATTGGGCAGCAGGATGCACATCAGGAGGTCAGGATCAGAGATTATATAAAAGACTAGAGGTGATCCGTGTTATTCTCCGTGTTCGCTTATATGTCAGCAAGTAAACAGGAAATAACCGAAATATCTCACATTTGATCGAGTATTTTATAATAGGTTGTTGAATTAAAGTTAGAAATATAAAAGTGACATTTAGTTTGTTATCCTTCATTTTGTTGTACTTCAATTGCTGGAGGTCGACAGTCCATGTATTGTGTCTGATTTTTTAAACATAAAGGCATAGGCTACCTGCAGAACATTAGCAACAACTGTAATGGCAATGAACCATGGTAACCTACAAGCTCTACATTTACTTAATTAGTGTTGCATTTTGAAATATCTCCTTCTCCACCCCATTTCAGAGGAAAATATTGTTAATGCTCTAAGTTTATTTGACTGATGCAGTAACTGTTAAATTAAAGATTTTAAATGTATGTCTGAATTGTCCAGCAGTTCCAGCAAAAAGAGCCTTCTGAGAGGTATTTCCTTCTTTCCTCTCACATGAACCATCTCATAACCACATCAGCCTTCTGGTCCTTTGGGGGGCTGACACATCGGTTGGAAACCACCAAACAAAGATCTCCACCAGGCAGCTACAAACATAAAATGCATCAGTGTGTAAAACCTAATACAGGTACATTATTCTGCATAACAACTCTGTACTCATAGTGAAGTAACATTTTGCAGGACTTTTACTTGTTATAGAGTATACTAGATTGTTGTATTGGGTTGGCTGTCGCATTAATAAGATCTCAATCATAGTTGGCAAAAAAAAAGTAGTGTAATTTTAAGATTTGAGGTCACCCGGCCGTCACCCACATGATCCTTTTAGGAGAAGACATTTGATATTATGGTAAGAGGACATTTTTGTGTTTTTTATGTCAAAATGTAAATATCCAGTACTTCTTACTTTTTATTATCCCGCATTAAAATAACAGTGACAACCAACCCCATCGTTTTTGACACCCTTTGACAAATATACAACCAACCCTGTTTTCCCTTCTTCTACGGCACTGATGGGGCGACTCAGCAAGACATCGAAGCTTTTGATCCTCTTAGATAATTTAGTGCAAAGTGCTTAAATGATTGTTCCTCTAGTAGAATGATTGGATTGAATACTCCAGCCATCCCTGCTGAATGCATGGATCAGATATGGTTGTGCTGTCAACGGTCTGATCTAGGGCACACCGTTTTGCGCAAGTGTGTTTTCCCTGTTGGTGCAGGGAGTCATCTTGACGTTTAAACACTCTCTGAAGCTAAGGTCGCGAGGTAGCTCATTGGCCCAACGTCACATCGCGGTCTCCTTGTTTATAAGCTAGTTCTCCAGAAACCTGTTTAAATCGGAGCTGATATCAGTGGCAGCGGTTTGTGAGTGTCTGGGAACATGCATGTCGCGGGGAGAATGTCGCGCGCGTCCCGTCTATCCTCCTCTCTGTTGTTTACATAGGCTGATTTCCGTTTTTTAGCATCCGCCGTCACTACCGACAAGCAGCGATGTATAAGGAGGGGGAAGAGGTACCGGACGACTGCGGCTCCCGGGAGGAGTGGACGCTGCTCTTCTGGACCTCTCTGGCCGTCATCGTGCCGGTCATCATCACGCTGTGGTGCAGCGCGCAGCGCTCCAAGCGGAAAACGCACATGAAGGATTTCTTCCGTAAGAGCAAGCACGGCTGGCACTACACAGACCTGTTCAACAAGCCCACCTACTGCTGCGTCTGCTCGCAGCACATCCTGCAGGGGGCTTTCTGCGACTGCTGCGGGGTGTGCGCCGACGAGCAGTGCCTGCGCCGGGCCGACCGCATCCTGCTGTGCAAGGAGATCATGGCCCCCTGCGGCCCAGGGGGGGGCATGGAGCACCGCTGGGTGCGCGGAAACGTCCCCCTCGCCAGCTACTGTGCAGTGTGCAGACAGCAGTGTGGCACCCAGCCGAAGCTTTGCGACTTCAGGTAGCGTGGGGGGTGCAACAGTATGAGGCCCACTGTACATCTGCAGCTGTGTGTGCTTCAAATATGTGCCGTTGGCTCTTTTTGCAAGGAGAAAGAGACACTGACATGCCTGTAGATTGCTATAGAAAGGCTGTCTTCCTTTCTGCCCTTCTAAGGCTGTCATACCATATGGTGATGCAACAACATTTCATTTTAATCTGTCCTTAATTTCCTCTAATGGACCTCTCTATGGTTGCAGGGCACATGATGCTTAATCTCGTTTTGTCTGATAAATGACTCTGCTAATCCTGATGAGGTCAGGGACAGACCTGCATCTCTGCAGCTGGGAAACATTCAGGGTTCTGCTTCCTCCACAGCTCTTCTGTGTCATTTCTTGCCTTTTCTGATGGCATTGTGTCCTCCTCCCTAGGTGTGTGTGGTGTCAGAACACGGTGCACGATGACTGCATGGACAGCCTGCCGGATGCAGACCAGTGTGAGCTGGGAGAGTTCCACAGCCTCATCATCCCTCCTCACTACCTGTACCAGGTCAACAAGCTGCGCCGCAGGCAGCCTGAGGAGTACAGCCAGGTGAGAGACACTGGGCTCAGGCTGTGGGTCAGGGTGGGGTCCTGGAGCAGTTTCAAGCAATTGTGTGTTTCTTGTGTGTTTCTGCAGCTGGCATCTTGCTGTGGCAGTGGCTGGACTCCAGTGTTGGTCTTGGCTAACACACGCAGCGGCAACAACATGGGGGAGGCTCTGCTGGGAGAATTTCGCACCGTTCTGAATCCTGTGCAGGTCAGACTATTTTTGTCTCAGTTAGACAAAACCATTTAAAGGGATTCTCCTGCCTGGAAATACCCATCTGTACATCAATCACACACCACTTGTTGCCATGATTTCTTTAAAAAACAACAACATAATTGTCCCTGTGTGCCTCCCTAGTTAAAAAAAGAATCCAAAAACACAAGTGGTGCATTATAGTTCAAGTCTCATTTATTATTATTGTTATTATTATTATTATTATTATTATTATAATTGTTATTATTATATACAGTATACACTTCTATACATTTCTGAATACCCAATCCGTGCAAGCCCAAAAGAAAAGTGAGATTCCAGAGAAAGAAGAGTTATTTACTTTTTTGTGTGTGTTCACCCTGGAGGCATGCAAGACAAGTTTCGAGGTAACACACGGTGATGAATGGATATACAAATGGTCATTTTGGGGTTGAAATATTCCTTTCTCCTTTTCTATGTCATCCTTTGTTTTAAAAGCCAGGTGATGAGTCTAGATTTCTGCTCAAATCATGAATCGAACCTGTCTCCTCTCCAGGTGTTTGACCTGTCTGAGCTGACTCCCTCCAAAGCTCTGCAGCTGTGCACCCTGCTGCCCCCCGGCAGCGTCCGGGTGCTGGTGTGTGGGGGGGACGGCACGGTGGGCTGGGTGCTGGACGCCATCGATACCATGAAGCTGAAGGTGGGAGGGCTGTTTATTTATTGATGTTGTATGTGCTGCTGTGTGGCATTATGTTTAATGACCTGCGTATATTGCACTATTTTTTTCTTCTCTGTTTCTTCTTGCACTATTCTATATATATATATATAGTTTTTGTATTTGTTTTATTGTTTCAATCATGTATTAGTGTATTCCACACATGGCAATTATTATAAAGCAAAACATGTATCCTTTATGCAGTTTTTGTAGGACCATGATTTAAAGGAGCAGGGAGAAGAACATCTTATTTGACCTGCCCTTTATTCAAGAAAAATCAAATAAAAAAGCTGTTTATTATATAACTACACTGCAGCTACTGTGTAGATGACGATACAGCCTTTGAATTTGTAGCATCACTTCTCTGTGTCAGGGTCTAGACCAGTTTATGCCCCGGGTGACCATCCTTCCTCTGGGGACAGGAAATGACCTCTCCAACACTCTAGGGTGGGGTGCGGGGTATGCCGGAGAGATCCCCGTGGAACAGGTTCTCCGGAACATCCTCGATGCCGAGGTGGTCAAAATGGACAGGTGGGTCAGTCAGGTGTTTTCACTGTGATAACAATGATCAGCACACTGTTCTTTTAGAAGTACAAGAAGCTGTGTAGGGATTCTCTGCGTAAGAGGCTTGTGCGCAATGCATCCTGGTACATGTAGTCACGGCTCTGTGAGCAGGAGAACTCTACTTTCTCCGTCACTTTACCATCACTGAGGAATGTAGACTCATCAGGATCAGAACACTTTACTTATCCCTGGGGTGGGGTGTAAACATGTTTTAAAATACAGAACATTCAATGCAGTATTAGTATTTATAAACATATTTATAATGAAAACCAGTCTATCACCTGAGATGTGCAATGTATTACATTCATTATTTTAAATGATATTGATATTGCTCACTGGAATAATTCCAGACTAGACAGCAGTATAAAGTATTGACTACATTTGTCATCAACACTGATATCCACATGAAATGAAAAGTCAAAGACTTGACAGAATTTAAATTGGTGTTCATCTAATCCATGTTTATTTTGGAAATCAGGTCATAATCCTTTTGATTCTTGATGTTTTTATAAATAAGGGGGAAGTTCAATAACGTACACATTGTGGGTAAAGCCAATTCTGTTATTTTTAGACTACCTTTTAAAGACGCCATCATTAATTAAATAAAAAGATTCAACATTTCTCCACAAAAATTGTATTCATGTCCATGTGTATTTAGGAAATCCTAGCTAATGCTCTGTCTACTCTTAGGTGGAAAGTGCAGGTGGCTTCAAAAGGCCTGTACTTTCGGAAACCAAAGGTGAGTTTGATCTGCTGTTATTAACACTTCTCCTCACTTAAACATAGTAGTGTGATTGAGGCCTCTGACACATATGAAACACACTCCTCAGGTCCTGTCCATGAACAACTACTTCTCTGTGGGGCCCGACGCTCTGATGGCGCTCAACTTCCACGCACACCGCGAGAAAACGCCCTCCTTCTTCTCCAGCCGCATCGTCAACAAGGTGAGAGTCTGAAAGGCTCTTTGCATACACAGATGCTGTTGTTTGCTGCATTTGAATCCGTATGTGGAATTGCATTGCCCTTGAATATGCTTCTGTCCCAGTCACAAAATGATCACACTAATGCCCTTATTTCTGTCTGTGTGTTTCTCCCCAGACTGTATATTTCCTGTATGGCACCAAAGATTGTTTAGTGCAGGAATGTAAGGATCTGGATAAGAGGATCGAGGTACAGTAGCTTTGTGCATGTGAAGCGTCATGTTCATGCTCTCTTCGCCTGTGCAGTTCAAAAGGAGACTCACACAGATTCAAACAATGTTTTCCTATTCCTGATGTACTGGGCTGGGGTGGGGATCACTTTAATTCTTCATCAGGAAGATATCTGCCTCTCAACAAGCAGTCATAAGAAATTATTTAACATGGCTTAAACAACCGGGGTGAAAATAGAAAGTTTCGGGCAGGCTTGCTCTCTTTTAACTTTAACAACGCGGAATGCTTTGGGAAGTGGCTCCGAATCATGTTCAATTCCAACTGTGGAACCTTTGTTTGATGTCATTCAACTCTTTATCTCACTCTCCCCAATTCAATATTACCGCTACGTTTATCTGTCTAAATAAGGCAGAATACCAAAATAAACACTTGAATTGTTTAAAAACGCATTGACTTTGAAACGAGGGAACTGGAAGTGCCAAATGCCAACTAATTTACATCATTTAGTACATAATCCTTTAGCACTTTATTTCTACTCCCCTATTTCGCTATGCCATGAGATAAAATAAGATTTACTTTATTGATCCCAATTCGGGAATTGTTCTTCGTCACAGCAGCATATAAACAAGTCATTGCACATTATATGGAAATAAAACAAGAGAAACTATTTGAAAAATAAAACAAAAATAGAATGTAAAATGTATACGCTTTGACAGTGAAATATATATATATCTGTAGACTATCTTTGCTATGCTATGTTTTGTGTAAGCTGTGTGTCATTTCTTTGCAATGTAAGAGTGAGCATGACTGGTTTGACGTGTGTGTGTGTGTGTGTGTGTGTGTGTGTGTGTGTGTGTGTGTGTGTGTGTGTGTGGGTGTGTGTGTGTGTGTGTGTGTGTGTGTGT